AGAGGCATTGAGTGGCAATCATGTTTGGTCTATAGTCTACTTTCAGCATGCTTCTCCCATCCTGGGAGGACCCTCCCAACATCCTTTATTTGATGCTCCCTTCTCTATCTGAGCTGTCTTTTCCCCTAGTATGTGTGGTTGGCCTCCAAGCCATGGAGTAAAATTCCTGGTACTAATCTCGCCATTATTGGGTGTTAATCTCCTATTTTGTTACTTTATGTTCCCCAGATGAATGCAATCTTTACCACTAATGTATGTAATCCACTCTAGTCCCTTCCCTGGAGACTGGCTAACCCAGTCCATATAATAGCTGCCAAAATTGAATCCAGAGGCTGCACAGGAGAGTGTCAGAGACCCCCCGGGTTTCACCAAGTCTCCCCCAGACTCCACCAGCTGCACCTCACACTGAACCCCTGCAAACACAAAGACATCCTGGTCAGGAAACTCTCCTCACACTGAGGATCTGCCTCTCCCATCTCGCCCATGCTCCATGTCTCTGTCGCCCATGAGTTACCTTCTAACACAGTCACCAGGAGAAGCCAGCTGAGCCCACAAGACATGTTGGTTCTGTGTGAGTCAGGATGGAGCCCTTAGGAACCCCTGAACTGACTCCTCTCTTGAAGCTGAGGCTGGGCTGGGCTGTTTTCTTCACTGTGGAGTCTTATTTGCATATCCTCTTCTCTATAAAAAGATCTCTTTGAACTGGTAGAGAAAAGGGAGGACTCCAGAGCAGTTGAATCATTCTGGGGGTGCCTGTGACCAGATTTAGAAACTCTGCTACTCCAGTATGCGATTATTACATAACAACCGATTTAATTGATATACTTTAATGTTTATTTTAATATAAATCCTATGATGTTTAAAATATTACTTCTATTTATTGATATAATAGGACACATAAAAGTTTAAATGATTTTTACAATGTCAAAATACACGACTCCCTGGTGCGTGACATTTTACTGGGACTGGAGCAATATCACAGCGGATAAGGCATTTGCCTTGCATGCAACTCACCCGGGTTTGTTTCCTCCGTCCCTCTCAGAAAGCCTAGTAAGCTATCGAAAGTATCCTGCCTGCATGGCAGAACCTGGCAAGCTACTCGTGGCATATTCAATTTGCCAAAAACAATTACAAATCTCACAATGGAGGAGACACTGGTGCCAGCTCAAGCACAATCGATGAACAACAGGAAGACAGTGCTACTACTACTCAAAATACGTTTTAAAAGTTGGTCCCACTATCTAGACAAAAGGAATCCACTGAGTCACTCACAGCTGACAATGTTTTGGGAACCAAGTGTTAAGACAGAATCAGGAGTAAGGCAGAATGGCCGGATAACAGGACCCTCATGTCTTGAATTCCACTGTGCTCCAGCAAGCCCATGTGTTGGCTATTTTTGTACTTTATCTCAGAGGAAACACTTCTGGGCTTAAAGGTATTTGTCCCGATTACTTATGACCCTCAGATATGTAAGAGCTGAGCCCAGACAGACTAAGCTCAAAAATTGACCTAAGAACGTCATTCTCCTGACGATTCCTGGCTCTAAACAATAATTCTCAATGTTTGGGGCACTTGGAGCTCTCAGTCCTCTAAGGAGTTAGTCCCCTGAGCAACACCCTTTCTCTCTTCAGTCTGTCTATTGATACTCACAGCATCCCAGGGTTGGTCTCTGTTCATCAGGATCGGTCCCCAGTAACTAGAGTAGAGATACAGAGGTAGTAGAGGGGTAAGTTTCCTCCCTTGCATGTGGTTAATCAGGTTCATTCCCTGCACTTCATGTGGTTTCCCATGTACCTAGCTGGTGTGGCCCTGAGTACAGAGCCTGGAGTATACCCAAAGTGGCACAAATAATAAAACTAAACCAACAAGGACTTAGACATAGTGTGGTGGTATGACACTTGCCTTGCACACGGCTGACCCAGGTTCAATCCCCTATATTCCATGTGGTCCCCCAAGCACGTTCAAGAGTAGTTCCTGAGTACAGATCCAGGAAGAACCCTGAGCATCACCGAGTCTAAAACCAAAACCAAATGAAGAGAAAAACAAAAACAACAATAAAAACAAAATATAGACTATAGAACTCTCAGAACTTTTTCCGTGTATTGAGAAAAAATTGTCTTTATTCTAAATTTGTTTTCACCTTGAGTATGTTGGAACCGGGGTGCACTGAGGTGCATGGAGTGTGACTCTTCACATCAATTTTGGCTCTGTCTCTCCTTCGTCCCCTGTAAGCATTTGAGTCTGCACCCTACACAGAATACTGACTTATACGACATTGATGTTTCAGAGCACTGACGTATATAGGCAAACCTGTGCAGTGAAAATCACATTCAAAACAGTGGATGAACCCCTCACCCCAGTGATTTCCCTTGACCCATGGTATTCCTCCCCCCGGGCCTCACCCCTCCCTCATGATCTTTACAGGGCTCCCTGTTTATGTGAGTGTATGAAGGGTGTGATGACGGAGATACACTCTCAATAGCTTTCCACTCTTGGGATATATTAGGGATTGTTACTCAGGCCAAAAAGCATCTTGGATTACTCTCAGTCCTGGATATTTAAAATAGGTCACATGAGCTTTCTAGAAGGAAGGATAAAAATGAGGAAAAGCTGTTCTATATATTACATGGGTATCACAGAGAAAGCTATAAAAATAATAACAAACGGAAAAGTACCGATTAATATTTACCCTGCTAGACGTTGGAGTCCTGGGGACCTGGTGGGGTGAGTGTGGGGGGCAGGGAGGACAGATCTCAGGGAGGGGGTTGGGAGTGTGAGGGTGTCACTGAGAGTGGAGCTGCTCTGGGAGCGACAGGGAAGGGTCCTAGGAAAGTTGCTGGAACTGGGCATGGAGGGGAGTGGATGGGGGTGAGGGGGGTGAGCATCTATGTATTGTGACAGAAGATTGGCCCCTGTGGGCTTCTAGCACATGGTGATCCTCTTTGTCCCCTGGTGGGACTGAGGCCTTTTCCCAGGTGGCTCCCTATTGCCCTCTAGTGGTGGGCAGCGCCCCTGCAGCAGCTCCGTGTCCCCTCAGGACTTGGTGTCTGGGCTCCTTTGACTGACCCACAGTCCCCTGCACAGTCACACCCCGGGTTTACCGTATCTCAGGCTGTTCCCCTGCAGGTGGTCACAAGTCTTCTTGGTCTCAGGAGATGGTGCATCAGCCCCTCCCAGAGAGTCAGGGGGTGATTGTTCTAACAAAGGCCTGCCCTTTCCCTGGGCCTGGTGACCTGGTCATCCAGGAGCTGCTAACCAGAATCTGCACAGGAGAGACTCCATCTCTGTCTGTTTCTGTCTCTCTCTCCCTCCCCCCTCCAGGTTAAGCCTTCAGTGATTATATCTTTTAATTGAGATTGGAGCTGAAACTCCACATTGCATTCCACCCTATCTCCAATCTGCTGTACTACTCCTGTTTGATCGAGTTGTAGTGTTTGAGGTGTCGCTCCAGGAAATCCAGAGTTTTTAAAGAGGTAAAATAGCTGAAGTTATATCTTTAACTGGGGGAGGCTTTTGGGCATGTGCGTGACTTCCTGGGCTTCCAGAACTACAGAAAGATGGCGGGAATGTAAAGGAAATATCAGAAGGACAATGAGAGATGTCATGGAGAAAGACCTATATCAGAAAAAGACTCAAAAGAACAAGAGTTGGGATGTTGTCAAAAGCAAATCTGTTTCCTCATTACCTTGGAATGTCTGATTTGATGTCTATGAAAAACAGCAGGAGATTTCTCTAAAAGGTGAAATTAGAGTTTCATATGATGCACTGATTCAAGCTAGATACATTCACCTGAAGGTGAAAATATCAAATTAAGTTATAAGAAAACATACACTGAAGCATTTGATATACTGGCTAGGACACAGAAATGGCCCTAATACTTAATGACAGTTTCATGAGTAAGAAGTTGTGGTATATATACAAAAAGGGATACTGTGCAGTTATTAAGAAAAAAAAGACAAAATATCAGTATTTTCTGCCCCATGGATGGAACTAGAGAATATCAGATTAAGTGAAGTTTGTCAGAGGGAGAAGGACAAATTCTAACAATCTCATTCAACTGTGGCACACAGAGAACAGAGCAGCAGGATGGACAGGATCCATTGATTAAAAACCCCTGCATCCTAACCACACGCTCGGGTTCCCAAGAGGAGTTGGGTGAGGGCTTAGATCACTGGGAAGAATAGGCCAAGCACAGGGGCCACGGGATTATTTGGGGGTCTGTGAGGTTTGGTGCTGGGAGAAGCACAGGGAGTTTGGGACCCATAAGCATCAACACTCAGACTATTGTCATCATGTTCCCTCAGTGACAATCAAGAAGAGAAGGGAAGAAATCTCTCATTACTGTGAAGAGGAGTGATCTCTACTGGAAGAAAAATCAATCACACCTGACCTAGCAGGAAATAACAGTCTTGGTGGACTCTGAGACAGGAAGAGGAAAACTAATTTGTACTAGAAGAGGAAGTAGCACTGTAGCACTGTCCTCCCGTTGTTCATCGATTTGCTCGAGCGTGCCCAGTAACGTCTCCATTGCATGACTTGTTGATACTGTGTTTTGCCTATCGAATAGGTCACGGGAAACTTGCCAGGCTTTGCTGTGCGGGCGAGATACTCTCGGTAGCTTGCCAGGCTCTCCAAAAAGGGCGGAGGAATCGAACCCGGGTTGCCGGGTCTGCCGTGCCGGCTGAGTGTAAGGGAAACTCCCTACCCACTTTGCTATCGCTGCAGCCACAAAACTTTAAAAGAAAAAAACGAATTGTAGGGCTAGAAAGATAGTACAGCGGCAGGGCGCTTGCCTTACGCATGGCTGATCTGGGTTCATCCCTGGCATTTCATATGGTGCCCTGAGCCATGCCAGGAGTAATCCCTAAGCACAGACAAAACCAGGAGTATGCCCTGAGCACCACAATGCGGGGAGGGGGGAAGGGGGAACAAACAAAAAGAAAAGCGAAAACAAGAACAGAACAGACACTTCAATTTCATTTCAGGGGTTGAGAGAGTCGTTATTTGTAATACATCTCAAGGCAATGATGCAGGATTGTTGGAGGAAAATAAATTAGCTGAAAATTTGAAAGAAGATATTGGGAGAATTCTGAAAATCAGACAAATTACTTGCATATATATATATATATATATATATATATATATATAGTTGCCAGGTGTACCCAAATTAGGTTCTTTTTAAAAAGAAAAATAGAAACCAGACATAAACATTTTCTAGCAAATTAAAATTATTGTGTGAGAGCATAGGGGGAGTGTCTGCTACTGAAACACAAAAGTGACCAGAAACAATTCCCGATGAATGCAATTCTATGAAACTTAACCTATAAATGCAGGGGAAATAGTTCAACCCCCGGGAGGTACGTGGGGGGGGGGGGGAGAAAGGGGAAATGATGTGTGGAGCAACAGAACTGTGGGAAGGGTGTTTGCCTTGAATGCGGCTGACCTGGGTTCAATTCCGGGTATCTCATAGGGTCCCCTGAGCACCTCCAGGAGTAATTCCTGAGTGCAGAGTCAGGAGTAACCCCTGAGCATCCCTGGGTGTGACCCAAAAAGCAAAAATAATAATAACAATAATCACTGTCACTGTCCTCCCGCTGTTCATCGATTTGCTCGAGCAGGCCAGTAACATTGTGAGACTTGTTACTGTGTTTGACATATTGAATATGTCACAGGTAGCTTGCCAGGCTCTGCCGTGAAGGCGAGATACTCTCGGTAGCTTGCCAGGCTCTCTGAGAAGGGCAGAGGAATCAAACTCGGGCCGGCCAAGTCGGCTGCATACAAGACAAAAGCCTTACCCGCTGTGCTATCGCTCTAGCCCCAATAAATAATAATAGTAATAATAATAAATAATTCAATGGGCTGGAGTGTATCCTTTGCAGGCTGGAGGCCCAGGTTCAATTCCTGGTACCACATAGTGCCCTGAGCCCTGCAAGAGGTAGGAACGGATCACTGAGATGCTCACAAGCACCGCTGGGTTAGGCCCAACCCCACAACACAAAGAGTTCTTAAAGCCCATCTACAAATAATCCAATTTTTAAAATGGATTAAAGATCTGAACTCACACCTGTGGAGAGAAGCAGATAGCAATAGGCTCATGCAAATGATGCTCAATGTTATGCGCTGTTGGGAAACTGCAATGAAAACAACAAGCTACTTGGGGGCCAGAGAGGTAGTATAGTGGGCAGGGCACTTGAGTCACACAAAGCAATCCTGGGTTCAATCCCAGTACCAGATAGAGTCCCCCTGAGCTCTGCCAGGAGTGAGGCCAGAGCACTGCTAGGTGTGACTTCTCCCTCAACAACAACAACAACAACAACAACAAACAACAACAACAAAGAAAGCTTCAACCTTGGGGCTGGAGTGATAGTACAGCAGGTAGGGCGTTTGCCTTGCACACGGCCAACCCAGGATGGATTCCCAATATCCCATCTGGTCTCCCAAGACCCATCAGGAGTAATTCCTGAGTACAAAGCCAGCAGAAACCCTTGAGCTCTGCGGAGTGTGACCCAAAAAGAAAAACAAAAAGAGCTGCAACCTTTAAGAAGGGTTAAAATTCAGAGTAGCAGCACCACCAAATGCTGGTAAAGATACATAGTAACAGACGCTCTCATTCATTGCTGGTGGGAACACAGAATTGTGCAGTTGTTGACTTATTCCCACCAGAAGCAGTAGAGTCCCCATGGAGAGGAAGTGGTGACTGAAGTGTATATACTTATTTTTTTAAGTTGGTATAAATATTCTAATACAGAGGAAAATGATCCCCCCACCCAGAAGAAGAAGAAAAAAAAGAAAGTGACTTACTGGCCCTTCTCCCCCTGCCCCTGGCACAGCCTGGAATAACTTGGAGCAGAGCGCCCCCTGGTGGCCACAGTCACCCCTGCAGCTGCCCTGTGTCCCTTAGCAGGTTTGTGTCTGGGCTCACAGGGACTTGCCCTCACTGTGTCTCTTGCACAGTAATACACGGCGGTGTCCTCAGTTACCGAGTTGCTCAGTTTTAGGTAAACTTGGTTCTTGGAGGTGTCCCTGGAGATGCTGACTCGGGACTGAAGACTTGGATTATACTTTGTGGTTCCACTAGCCCATATAGCACCAATCCAATCCAGCCCCTTTCCAGGGGCCTGGCGGACCCAGTTTACACCATTGCTGGTTAGAGAGAATCCAGAGACCGAGCAGGTGAGGGACAGCGTCTGCGAGGGCGTCACCAGGCTTGGTCCCGACTCCTGCAGCTGTATCTGGGACAGGACGCCTGGGAACAGAGACTCACAGTGAGTCATGGGCTCAGAGGCCCCATGCCCACCTTGGAGTCTCTGTCCAGGGGATACTCACATCCAGGAGCTGCCACCAGAAAGAGGAGGAACCAGCGCTGATGCACGTTCCTGCCCACGAGGTCCATGATCTCAGACACTGTGTCAGGGGGAGAGGGAGCCTGAGTTGGGGTGAGTGTGAACGAGGTTTTAATCCTGGGTCCCGAGTGCAGATTTGCATGGGGGAGCCTCTGGAGAGAAAGGAGGGAACCCGGGGGAGGCTGGCGTGTGGGCTCCCTGGGAGGAGGTGCTGACTGTGGCTCAGAGCACTCAGGCCTGTCCCTGGGGCCCTTTCAGAGCTGGGCCTCTTCCTGCAGCACAGGAAACGTGCTGAGGAGCTCTCAGGAAACAGAAATTGCTGAGGGGGAAACGGCAGCTGGGAGGAGAGTTCCTGTGTCTCAGGTCCCTGATGACAAATCCCAGCACCCTCAGGGCCTCTACCCTGCAGACAGACCCCTGCCCCTCCATGTCACTCTGTGGTGGCTCCTTTTCTACTGTATATACAAGATCAGAGACCAAACACACAATGTAATTGTCACAGTGAATTCTGACTTGGTTTGGTCGAATCCCAGGTCAATCAAATTTCACAGAGTTTATTCAGACACTTAGCAAGGGTGAACATTCCTTCACCTGTAGCAGCATTATTCGTAAGTATACAGGTATTTATAGATATACATTCTGTCTGATGATTCATTTGTATCAGGATAAGGAAGATACTTCTGCCTAGATGAACTTTGTGGCATGGTTGACCTGATCAGCAGTACCAAAACCTGCTCAGTCCTGTGTATAGCTCAGTGTCCAAAAGATGACTGTGTTCTTGTGGTCATCACTGAGAAATCACAACCTTTTGAGTGCTTAGAAAGACCCAGTAAACAGTCCTCAGCACATAATCTATTGGGCCAGAGTTTTGGTCTTTGTGCAAAGATCAAATGTACAGTGTGAAAGCCCTGAGTAGTGACATGTGAGGCTCTACCCTGCCTCCAAATACATGGAACCTAGACTCAGCCTGTGTCACCTAAGTGTACCCCTGATTCTATGGAGCATCAGGAGTTTGAGTTCAATATAAGGGACAAGAAAATATGCTCTTAAATTTCATGTTCTAAATGTCAGCATTAAGGGTCAAAGTAATTGAAACAACTAGCACGTTCAACATAATTCTATTAAAATAAACACAGAAAGATATATAAAGAACTCAGACAAGATGCGGATTGAACAGATCAATATTACACCTCACATACAGACAGCGCTAATAGGATTAATAAACCTTCTCTTATGTAAAGCATGTGAGTCGCTATGGCTCTCTGTGCCCAGGTGTCCTGTGCCTGAACTGCAGGCCCAGAACGGTGAATCCTCCGAGTTCTGACCCACCTGCACTGTCTCTGTGAGCTCCACCATTAACAGCAGTTTTCAGGGTAACTTGACCCCTGTACCTCAGATATATTCGGATGGATGGGGAGATGCACAATGATGGGACCGTTTCCTAAAGCTACTTCACCAGAGCAAAGGGCAATTTCTTAAATCTTAAATCCAACCACCAACTTTAATTGATAATTTTATAAACTTTTATAAAATTCTATAAACATTTAAAAAATTTGTTTTAAGGATATTAAATAAGATGGATTTCTTTGTTAAAAGGTTCTTGACTCATTTGTGGCTGTTTCATTCATACAGATGTTGACTAATAAAATATCCTGGGCTATCACTACGAGTTTATTAGAAAAAACCAATCAGAGATAAAAGAAACCAATCAGAGATTACTTGAAAGCCTCAATCATTCATTTTGTGTTTTCTCATTGTGAAACACTCCTGGCACCATCTCTCTGTTCTCCTGGGAACCTGGCAGTCACGCACAGGAACTGCCTCTGTGACATGAAAACTCATTAATGATCACGATTTGGAGATTACAAATAAATCTTGGAGAGTAACAACAAACTGCAGAGATACATCTGGACCCCAAAGTCACCATCAGTTAAAAATTTAACTCCAGTTATATCACTGTCACTGTCACTGTCCTCCCGTTGTGCATCGATTTGCTTGAGCGGGCCCAGTAACCTCTCTATTGTGACAATTGTTACTGTGTTTAATCACTTAATCACATAACTTCCTGTTAGTCCTCGATTTGCTCAAGCGGGCGCCAGGAACGTCTCCATTTGTCCCTGTCACGTGCTAGTGTAGCCCAATGGCATCTGTTCGCTCCGGGAACATGAAGGGCCACAAATCGATCCTTCATGATCTTGACGAAGAAGTCTGACCATCTGGTAGGTGGGTGGCCACGCGGTCTTTTGACATCCCGTGGAATCCAGTCAGTAACAGCTCTAGTCCAGCGGTCGTCTTTAAATCTCATTACGTGACCAGCCCATCTGATTTTCGACACCTTGGCAAATGAGACAGCGTCCCTGATTCTTGATCGTCAATGGATGTCAGAACTCCGGATTCTTTCTCTCATTTGAGTGAAACGTGATATTCCAAGAATAGCTCTTTCTATTCTTCTTTGGGAGACCTGAATAGCGTTCTCATCTTGTTTGCGTAGGGCCCGGGTCTCTGAGGCATATGTTAATGCAGGAAGAACAGTGGAATCAAAGAGATGTGCCCGGAGCCGGAGGTTCTTCATCCTCTTAGCTATTTCTTCGACGTTCTTGAAGGCGTTCCAATCCGCTCTCTTCCTCCTGCGCAGCTTGGGTGCCAGGTCATTTGTCATATTGACCTCTCGACCTAGGTACACATAGCTGTTGCATTGGGAGATGGTCATTCCATTGAGAGCGAATGGGGCGTCAGGAACGAGGCTGTTTCTCATAAACATTGTCTTCGTAAGATTCAGCTGTAGTCCTACCTTTCCACACTCACGGTCAAAGTCGGCCAGCATTTGTGCCGCTTGGCTGATGTTTGGTGTTATTAAAACAATGTCATCAGCAAAGCGGAGGTGGTGGAGTTGCTGGCCATCTATCTTCACTCCCATTCCTTCCCATTCCAGTCGTCGCATGATGTTCTCAAGGGTGGCACTGAAGAGTTTCGGTGACATGGTATCACCCTGCCGCACCCCTCTCTTGACATCAACGATCACATCTTGGTAGAATGGTGAGATCCTGGTAGTGAATCCGCAATAGAGCTCACGGAGGATCCTGATGTATTGGGCTTGAATGCCCTGATTGGCTAGGGCTTCAATGACCGCTTCCATATCAACAGAATCAAAGGCCTTCTTTAAATCAATGAACGTTAAACAGAGCGGCATCTTGAACTCCCGAGAAACCTCAATGAGCTTGGTTATCGTGTGAATATGGTCGATGGTGCTGAATCCTTTGCGGAACCTGGCTTGCTCGCTTGGTTGTCCTTCATCTAGTGTTCTGCCAATCCTATTTAGGATGACTCGAGTGAACAACTTGTAGATGACAGACAATTGGCAGATCGGGCAATAGTTGCCGATGTCATCAATGTCTCCCTTCTTGAACAGTAGTACGGTCCTGCTGGTTTTCCATTGGGATGGAACCTTGCATTCAGACAGGTAGCGAGTGAAGAGCCAAACCAGTGTATTGATGAGTACTGACGGCAGGTTCTTCAGGTGTTCAGGTCTGACCTTGTCTGGGCCGGGTGCTGTTTGTTTCTTTACCAACGAAATGACGTGTCGGATTTTGGAAGGGAGAACGTTGGGAACGACATATCCATCCTGTGGAATTTGGTATGTCGGCAAGTGGACATGGCTATCGAAGAGATTTGAGTAGAAGTCATGGATAATCTTCTCCATTGCCGTTCTGGAGGATGTGATGGAGCCATCAGGACATCGGAGGGCAGTCATCTTGCTCTTGTAGTTGACGAAGGACAGGCGGGCGTTACGAATACTTTTCCCGGCTTCTGCCACATCTACCAGTACTTCTGCTCTTCTCTCTTTGAGGTCTTTCTTGATCGCATCTCTGCACTGCTTTGCGAGCTCGGACATTAGCTTGCGGTTGCCTGAGGCATGCGCCACACCACGCTGGCGAATTAGCTCAGGAGTTTTCGAAGATAGGCGATTTTTTGTGGCTATCTCTCTCTTGGCGTTCCTCGCACATTCATGGATGTGCTGAACCAGTCGATCGTATTCCTCATCAATGTTGTCAACAATGGAATCTTCCCATGTTGCCGCAATAGTACCAAAGAGTTCCCAGTTGGTGGTCATTCTGGGAGTTCTCTTTTTGAACTTTGCAGCCCTTTCTCCCCGCTCTGTTAAGTAGAATTTTGCACGAAGGAGAAGGTGGTCCGATCCTGTTTGAAATTTTGGGACAACAGCGACATCAGTCAGCAAAACCGATGATTGAATATTATGTGGTCTATTTCGTTGTGGAATCGTCCACCGGGAGACTCCCATGTGCATCGTTTAGATTCTGCCTTCTGGAACTGTGACTTACCATGAATGGTCTTGGTTGACATGATGAACTCAGACAGTTTCTCACCCTGTTCGTTCCATTCTACACTACTCCCACTATCCAGCCGTCGCCACACTCCAGGACACTTTCCGGACCCGCGCGGCCACTTTGTGGCCGCGTGACACATCATAAGACATTAAATGCCCATCTTCCGGAATTGTCATACCGTATTTGAGAGGGTCCAAATATGGTAACACCTACAAGGGTAATTAGAGGTCGCCCCAAAAGCCTCTATCCCTCTCGGAAAAACTGGCAAGCTACCGAGAGTATTCCGCCCGCACGGAAGAGCCTGGCAAGCTATCCGTTGTGTATTCGTATGCCAAAACCAGTAACTCAACTGGTCTCATTCACCTGACCCTGAAGGCTTCAGCGACATGGCAGCACTGAGATGGATGAGAAAGGAGAGGCCGACAAAATCTCAAGGCCGACCTAGACTGCCACAACGAAGGAAGACAAAAATGATCATCTGTACTTTCAATGCACGTACGCTAGCATCAGATGCATCCATCGAGGACCTGATGGTACAAGCGTGAATGATCAAGTACGACATCATTGGTCTGACCGAGACAAGAAGGCACGAATCTCACCATGCCGTTTTCGACACTGGAGAAGAATTGTTCCTCAGAACATGCGATAAAAGAGGTGTTGGAGGCGTCGGTGTCCTTGTCAACACAATCTTGGCCAAGAGCATTGA